CCCCAAAACCCCAAAACCCCAAAACCCCAAAACCCCAAAACCCCAAAACCCCAGCTGTGAACAAAGATGTTGAAATTGGCCTGTGACAGATTCTATTTGAGCAAAGCAGGTTTAAGTGCTGGCTAGTGGTCTATTGAGGGGCTCCAGGAGCCATACTGACTGGCTATGAAGGAAGATTAGAGGGATTTTTAGGGGATGAAGAAATTTTTGAGAAAAAGGAAAGATTGGGTATTGATTTTGGTAGGGGTTGAGTGGAGAGCTAGGACTTACTGCTGGTGATGGGGCTGGGACGAATCCAGAGCCGACTGAAGTTGGGGCTGGGATTTGGATGGATGGATCAGCGATTGATATTGGAGGTGCAGGGACTGGATCTGGGATTGGGATTGTTAAAGGGTCTCCTGCCATCTGTCTTTTGTACATTTCTCCATATTTATCACCTCTGTAGATCTCCCAAGGTCCTTTATCTGATCTAAATCAGTCACCACCTCTATCTGCACAAGTACAATTGCCTCCAATAGCTGCTGGAACATTGTCTGGGTCTACACATTCAAAAAGTTTATCTTGATACTTTGTTCCAATAATCTGGATTTTTGCTAAAGTTTCCTTTGCTAAGAAAGTCTTGACTACTGCCCAGATAGCCTTAAATACAAGTGGAGCATTTATGATGATCATCTTATGCATAATTTCAGGATAATAGTTTTGGGTGATCCCTACTGGTATATTTAAGGTGTCTCTGCTCTTTTGTTTAAACATTCCCATTGAGATTCCTTTGACATCAATCACCGATAAAATTGAATCAATTTTTTTTCCAGCCGCAGCAGAGCAAGCAGGCATCTTGGCATGGATAAGAAACTCATAGTCTCTGATATAGTTCCTGGATAACTCTGCAATATCTGCGATCTTTAGGAGATCTTCAATAGGATGAGCTGTACAAGGCCTATCAATATAGAAGGGTCTTCCTTCTCTATCAGTACCATGATATCCTGCCTGATGAATCTCTCTAACTTTTGGGATATTACTGAGGTCGTACCTAAGAAAAGCGTACTCGACCTCATTTTCCTCTCTCCATTTGATAAACTCCTCAAACATTTTCTTGACTTCTTTGACCTTGAAAGATCTGGCTCTGCAAAATCTTAACAAATAATGATCAGTATATCTATCAGAAGTAGTAAGCTGGTTGTCTGCAATGTGCTGTTTCAGCTGATTGAGACAATCCTCTTGAGATTCACTGAGGCAGCCTACCTTTCCAGTAAACTTCTGTTCCTCTTTGGATTCTTCCTTCTTCTTTTTCTTACCAAATAGTCCCATTTTAGTAGATAATTATATTGTTAGAAAGGAGTTGGAATTTATGGGGTTTTGGGGTTTTGGGGTTTTGGGGTTTTGGGG